CGGGGGGGGGGCGGGGCGGGGGGGGGGCGGGCGGGGCTTTAAGTGATGCGGGGGCAGGAAAGGCGGATCCACACACACACGCACAAGTGTTTACAGACACTAGCATACACATGTACACACACACTATAGTCTCCCCCCTCGCTCATTTTTTATTTATAGTGTATTCATTTATATACGTACTGTACACACACATATACACCCTCTCGTGCTTTTTATACGGTGTGGAAAGCAGGGCTAGTCTATCTCATCAGATAGTGACGGGTGATGGCGGTCTGCTCATGCAATTAAAAACAATCAAAATAAATTAATAATTTGAAGAACCATTTTCGGGGGATTCTGGAACGAGAAAATGGAGGACATTCAGGCCATAGAGTATGTCAGTCTCTGATCGAAAGATTCGAAAACGGAGTCAAATTTTTCCCTTTTGCGTCTCGGTTAAGGAATAAGATACAACGTCAGGCCTCCAGAGCCTGAAATGGCCCATCCATTATTCATAGGGCTGTGCAGCGCCATTCTGGCTGCTCTGCTGCAAGGGCAGCACAGGACGGGGCTGGAAAGCCCTGCTTTGCCCACAGCACTGATCATTTCACCAAGGAAGGTCAGTGTTTCCCTGTTTCCGTTTCACCAGCTGTGATTTTCGACCGCGAAACAGTAAAGCCCCCCAGATCGGAGGTGACTGGGTCAGATCGCTTAAGCCTGGTGAGTCATTGGTGGCTGCCAATTCCACAGCGACAAACACATATACACACACACACACACACACATACAGTATGCTGAGTAAACATATCTTTATGGGGACCGCACATTTATTTCTATAGGAAAAATGTGACAAACTTAACCCCTACCCAGCCCTAACCATAACTATAAGTAACCAAGCAAAATACAACAATTTTTTTGTTTTTTCATTGCAGTCACAGATTTTTATTAAATTGAGTTTTCCCTTATAGGGACCAGGAAAATGGGTATTCATCACGTTGTGGGGACATTGTGTCCCCATAAGGTAAGGTATACCCACTTACACACCCACACACACACACACACACACACACACACAGGTTTGTAATTATATCTTTGTGGAGACTCTCTATTCATTTCTATGGGAAAAACCCGAAAAACGTCCCCATAAGGTAAAAAATTACAGGTTATCATCACCTTAGGGGGAAATCTGGTCCCCATAATGCAATAATTACAAAAATGCATGCACACACTTGGATGCATGTGCACATGCAGCCCCAAACATGCACACCCACTCGCAAAGATATGTGTGACTTCTGCTAGCACAGAATTCCCCGCGGCCGCAGCTGGGAGCAGGGATTACCTGAGGATTAATCACCTGACTCAACAGTGGAGTGTGTCCACAGAAGCTCCACAGCGAGATGCCAGCTGCCAGCGCTCTCGCTCGGCATTCCACACCCTCACCCATCTCCCAGCACCGCCAAAGTACCAATATGTGCAAGAGCACCATCTCTGCTCTCCTCTGCCCACTTCCACTCCTCAGCGTTTGATATTCAGCCAGCTGAACTCTTCCTGCCAGGTTTTCGGGTCTTTAAGAAACTGGGTGACCAGCACCTGGTCCTGTTCGCCATGACTGAAGACTGATGCCTCTGTTCTGATACATTACCAGCGTAACAAACCGTGACGCGGCGGCTTAAAGGGGCAGCGTCACGCCTGTTGAGGCACGAGGACACAAAGGCAGCGGCGGTGACGATGCACACTTACATCGGTGAAGCTCCCTCCTCGCACTGGTACACACTCGCTGGTAGACCACGGTGATCAGGGGCACAAAATAGCCCAGCAGCGTGTACATGGGGGGGGGGGGGGGGGGGCGGGGGGCAGCGTTGTCACCTTAGCGTAGGAGTGCAGTCTGTGGGCCAGCAGACCGGAGCCCCTGGCAAATTACTCTTGGGTGGGGGGTCCTGGTCCAGCTGTGCTGTAGTCCGTTTCAGGGGAATGAAAGTGCCCCAGGAGCAGACAGGTGTCTCCTGGAGTCCTGAATGTGGACACACGGCCCCCCCTGTCACCGGCAGGTCGCCCACGCGGCTTCGGAGCGGAGACGACGGGAAGGTGGTGCGCTCCCCCTGAGCCCGGAGCCCTCTCTCCCCTGACGCGTGCCCCCCAGGCCGCATTTATTAATAGGAGGGGTGCAGCCACTGTGGGACAGGGATGCACTGGGGAGACAACAGCTGTCTGTCCGTCTGCCTGGGGGAGGAGAGCTGATTGGCTGTAACGCGGGACATGACTCCCCAGCCACAAAAACAGGCCCGTCTGCGTGTGTGAGCTGGAGCGAGGCCGTAAAAGCCACAGGCCAGTGAAAGGCGTGACCCGGACCCCCAGCTGTCCGGGGGGGCAAGTGGCGTGACCCCCGGGTGAGTGGGGGTCAGCTTTAGCCCCAGGTCTACCCCCTGACCATCCTCTTGGTAAATTCACAATAACATGGTGTGACTGATGTTTCGCATGAGTTAAGCTACGGCTACGTTACATTAAAGTTACGCTAATCTATGTCAACAGAAAGAACACAGTCAAAGCTTGATGTAGCACATGTATATTTATGTATGTAGCACCCGAGTGAAAAGAAAATCAGGCAGACAAAAGTGGTTTTAATACCCAGAATTTTACTTTTTATTTGCTGCAGGATGAGGGAAAATTAGAGAAATGGAGATGAAACGAGAAGACAGACGGTGGAATAAATAGGTGAGCATAGGGGTCAGTCTAAACGGGAAGCTCAGTGCCGAGTCAGCACCGACCGGCCGTGTTCCCGGAGGCTGGAGGGAGCCAGACGAGGAGAGGGGGGAACGAGGGCAGGGAATCAGTCTCACGGAGGAGGACGAATCCAGAATAAAGGGAGGTTATATCCCGCAGGCCGAGGGGGACAGTCTGGGGACAATTTTAGTTACATGTTAGTCCCTGACTGAAGAGAGCGCAGGTATAAACCTCCACACTGCGACAGCCGGGAAGCCGCTCCTGAGGGTGAAGCCGCTTTAGGATTGTGGATATATTTATATGCTCTAAATTTATAAGTTCCATTATTTATATGACTGCCCTGTAGTTACAGGGATCTTACTGAGATGGCAAATTCCCCCGGAATGAGGCGACGGGGGTGTGACATGGGAGCCTTTAAAGCCAGCAGGATGGCTTCGGGTGTCCCGGCTCTCCCGGAGCCCCTCCTCACAGCTTCTGCCTGCACCGCCATTGGACGAAAAAGGCCACGAGTGTAGGACAGAAGCCGGCAGGCGGACACACACCCAGGGCTCGTGAAGGGGTCGTGACTGAAAGGCTCCGCGCTCCCCAGCCCCCACCCTGGCGTTCGCTTGCCTCATTCCTGCCACTTTCCCCCGAGAATTGAACCAGGAAGCTGGAAGAGACCTGCGATCCCAGACACATGGTGCTGTCTGTCCCTGCATCCATTAGTTAGACCCGATTGCCTGTTGGTTCAATGAGGGGTTTACTGTGTCAGCTGATTTCCCTGATCTGTCCTGCTCTTCAAACTAGTGTTGAAAGTATGGTGTAAAGGAAAATCACTGACCGCACCAACTACAAGATACCTATTCAGTTTACTGCTTTTTACTGATTAAATTATACAGTACCTTCCTCAGCATCCATATGAATTTATGTTATTTACATTTGTTTACACTGCAATCAAATCAAGGATCCAATGGTGACGTGACTCTGCTGACCATGAGATCTGAACTAGAGACCTTCTGATCACAGGCACCAAGTCTTAACCTGCAGAGCCAGACACCTCCCCCATGAGGTCACCAGGGTCACCCAGCAGAGATTACCCTCAGATCTTTCCTAGATCACCCCAAAACAACTCAAACGCTGCCCGGGCCCTGCACCCGGCACCCAGCCCCCGGCACCCTGCACCCTACGCGGACCTGGGACCCGGTACCCAGCATTCGGCACCCTGCGCGGACCCGGCACCCTGCGCGGACCCGGGACCCGGTACCCAGCATCCGGCACCCTGCGCGGACCCGGCACCTGGCCCAATCTCATGCATCCAGTTAATTATCACAACATCCAGCAAATGACTCAACCAAAATGCTCCCGTTCCTGCAGAGGAATGCTCTCTCTCTTCTCTCTCTCTCTCTCTCTCTCTCTGACAACTGTGTTATACTCGGCTCGCGGACGTCAAGAGCAGAGACAGGAAGCTTGTTACGATAATCCCACTAACAAGATTTACCTACATAAACACTGCCCCAGTGACTGGTATCGTCTCCCCGTACCTGTTCCCGGGCTCCGTTTGCCAAGCAGTCATCTTAGAGCTAAGAAAAAATTTGCATATTGCACCATTTTTGAACACTTTCCTTAAACCAAAAGCATTATATGCAGTGTTTCCCCTACCATTATATTAGGGGGGCGCCCCGCTCCCCCAATGACACCTCCCGCCCCCCCTTGAGGGTCAAGTAAATTTTATTAAATTTTATTTTCTATATAGCGCCAGATCACAACAGAAGTCATTTAAGGTTACCTTTCCTATAGAACAGGTCTATACATTGTCCTTTTACTAAACAAACTAAATAGCCTTATGTTATTTATCTTATTTACACAACAGCTTGTCATTTTTGTCTCTACACGGTCGCGTGTTTACAATTCTCCTCTGCTGTCTGTATAATGCATGGAGGAGTTCCGCCCCGATGCGCGCGCACACACGTTCGCACACACACAGGTGAGCACACTCCCACCAGTGGACAGAGAGCACGCGTTGGAAAATATGTTTTTCATTTTTTGAACGTTCCCAGGGTGGTGAAGATGCCAATACTCACTCTCCTGCGAGTAGCAGACAGAGTAGCTCTCCTATTCCAGGTCCAAGAACAGAAAATTGTGGATAATTGTCATAAAAAGAAATGTTCTGATGTTTAGTTCAGTTGTTATATTGACTGCTGTCATTAAAAGAAACACATGAACACCATAAATCCTGATGGGACTAGCGGCCATTCGGGTTGGGTATGGATGTTGGGTGATCAGGTCCCGTTCTGTCACATTTGTACCTTCACAGTCAGCTCACTGGTGGTTGACCAGGGCTGCTGTGGAGAGCTGACCTGTCGGAAAGATGGCGTCCTATGATGGTGCCAAGTTGAAAAACACACGCCGGTGTGCTTCATTATACATCTGTTAGCAATGGGTGTGGCTTAACTAGGCAATTCCTCTAATCAATAGGTGTGTCCAATTTGGCCGTATAATGTATATATCTACACGATATCCGGATGCACATCTGGTGCGTCTTTATGGTGTGATCCACGGGACTCTGCAGCAGAGAGTGCTCTAGGTAGGACAAGTTGTACAGCTCAGCACATTTAAGATTAGTAGGACATTGATCGAGGACGCTGAGGATGATTTGGCAGAAAAACAGCTTCCCAGCAGCAATATGCACTGGTGTATGAGGCCGCCACTGGTCATGGCGTCTGCAGCACACACTCCAGTGAGCTCTGGAGTCTCATTTCATCTCTTCTACTCGTTGACCCTGATAAACTGTCATGGCTGACACTACTGACTCATAGCCCCACAGTGTGGGATTCAAATGGCACCCCAGCACTCTGTGTGTGTGTGTGTGTGTGTGTGTGTTATGCATATATTACATTATGGGAGCCAAACGTCCCCATAATGTAATAAAACCACCTTTTTCAATCCCCACAAGGGGAAACTCAATTACTCAATTTTACAAAATATGTGACTGCAGTAAAAAAAAAAAACTATAAATGCCAAAAGTCTTGTTTTTTATTTGGTTATGGTTAAGATTGTGGTTATGCCCATAGAAATGAATGGACAGTCCCCACAAAGATACGAATAGAAATGTGTGTGTATGTGCCCCGTGATGGACTGGCATCCCATCTAGGGTTTACCCTGCCCTCTGCCACCTGGGACAGACTCCACACATCCCCAGAAGTGGTGAGAAGGTGAACGTAAGTCTTTCTTTATGGTACCCAACATGCTTACTTAAAACTCCATTAAAAACAACACGAGACTGACTTATTTTGACTTTGGTTTGCTAATCAATGCAGTTTATGCCCAGGGGCCTGTTTCACGAAGCAGGATTACTTGCTTAGCCAGATAACTTGCCAGATTTAAGGTAGTCTGGGCTAAATAGACCTTATTTTCATCAACTTACATTTAGCCCAGACTACCTTAAATCTGGCAAGTTATCTGGCTAAGCAAGTAATCCTGCTTTGTGAAACAGGCCCCAGGACTTGTCTGGACATGCAGAAAATGCAGGAAACCAAGACAAAATGCTCTCATGTTTCATCCAATGCAGAGAATAGAAAGTAAGAAACACAAGAGGAGCCATAAATAAAACAGACCGCAGAACCCCCACGGACGTATATCCGCCACAATGTGCCACAAAGCCATGTAAGGGTCTAGGAAGATACCAACTGGCGCTCAGGGGGTGTCGTCCAGCTGCGGCACTGCAGCTCCTGCTCATTTAACCCCCCGTGGATCCTGCTATGGTTATACTTCGACATGCATCGATCCTGCTATTTCACGGATAACGAGACAATTTAAATACGAGCTCTACTGGCCGAATGTGAGTGGAGCCTTTTTTAAAATATTACACAACTCTGTGCATTTCATTACAGCTCTGGAGGGTAAACTGTGCTCCGGCACACGAAACCAAGTCAAAAACCATCAAGGGCGGCCAGCGAAATGCGATCAGGCATAAATTACATAAAAAATGTCTGCAGAGCTCAAACTCCGAGTGATACACACTTACAATTCAACCCGAATGAAGATACAGGGATTCGGATCATCTCATTGTTCTGCTGAGATGAAAAAAGTGCAGAGATCCCACAGGATCATAATGAAAGGTAGGCAGATGTGAGATGGTATCTCACACGGGCACATTTAGGCGTAATAACAACGGCATCGATAAGCGTACTCACGGTGGAAGGGGCGGTTGGGGTCATTCTGGGGGCCCTCGCTGGACACGGACGTCACGCTGGCACTACGGATGAAGCCGAAGGTGGCTACCCTCGCAGTGGGCAGGCGGGTGTAGCCGGGCAGACGCAGGCCTGACACCCCTGGCTGTGGGAGCAGGGACCTGGGGGCGGGTTCCGGGGGGGCTCGCCTCGGCTCACCTGGAGAGGCGGGTACATCGAGAACCATGACTTAAACTCTCTGCAAAAGAGGAGGCCTCACATCCATGGCTCTAAACCAGTGGCTCCCAATCCGGTCCTCAGGGACCCGCAGCACTCTGTGTTTTCTATTCCTCCTCAGTTTTAAGTCTTGAAGCAGACTGATAAACTCAAAACAACTTGTCTGTAACCATCTGGGACTAGTAATTAATCTCAGAGATATTCATGTCAGCCAAGGGAAGTGAGACGTGAAGATTGATAGGAAAATTTGAATCACAGACTTCTGTGCCTGATGGACGGGCTGAGGAAGCACTGTCGACCATCTCCATATTCCCATGTATTTTGTGAGATGTGTCCTCACCTGTGGCCTCCTGGTACCAGTGAGCCGGTGGACTGGCAGCCCGGGCAGGGTGGCCGAAGGGCAGGGCGGACCTCTGACCCGCTAAGAGCGTCCTGGTCTTGGCTGAGGGAAGCCTGGTGACAACACCCAGGCCCAGCTGAGGTCGCAGGGCCCTGGGGGAGCAGAGTCCTCCCACAGCCCTCTGCCGACCCCCGGCTGATGGGTCCTCGTACCCAGGACCCTCCGAGCTGCTTATGCCTTGGCTTCTCTAGAAGTGAAAGATAGATAAATAAATCAACAAGTCTGCAATGTGGGGATGTTAAGCCTGGAAGACACCAAGCCGATTTCCAGCCGAGCTGAGAGTCAGCGGCTGCCTGTCGGGCCGTTGTTGGTTCCCGTTGGTGCGGTTTAGGCTGATTAGCATGTTGACTTGGCCTCGCAGCTAGTTGGTGAAACTGAGCTCTCTGGTCGGGCTGCATGTCAGCTGTCGCCTCTGTAGGTGCAGGTTTATTTCTGAAGGCATTTTCACAATAAACGTGAGCCGATCGTCCGTCGGCCTTGGCACGAGTTTTATGCCGCCAGCTTGGTGTGTGCCCAGGTTTAGTCAAAGAAAAATATGCATGTGAAGGGACGCCCAATGAAGGGACGCCCAATGAAGGGACGCCCAATGAAGGGACGCCCAATGTTAGGGACGCCCAATGAAGGGACGCCCAATGAAGGGACGCCCAATGAAGGGACGCCCAATGAAGGGACGCCCAATGTTAGGGACGCCCAATGAAGGGACGCCCAATGTTAGGGAGTTCCTCTAAGTGGAAATTAATAATACATTTTTCCCTGGAGGGAGTAGTTACTGATATCTCAAAAACCAGCCTGATCCTTTATGGGATATGAGCACCACCATTTTACAAACCTTAGGGAATGTAACACGGCCCTGTCCAGTACAATAAACTGAAAACTCAACATGTTCATTCACATTTTCTCAAAAATAATGCACAGAATTCACTGTTTAGCTCCGTTTCATTCCCCTGCCGACACTTCAGTGTGTAAACACACGCAAGCACAGACTTATTCATACAAACACGTACACATTCAGCATTCACACTCTTCCCAAAATGACGCACTCTGTACCGTTCTCACAGCCCATCTTACCTCCCGCGAGTATTTCTCTGTGAGCTCTTCACAGAAACTCTCTGATTTCCCGGTCAGCCTCTGGGGCGCAGAGTGGCCGGGGGGTCGGACCCCAGACACCAGCAGGTCCGGGCTGTAGCAGCGGCTCTTGTCCACCTCCTGCCGGTGCTTGTCGTGGGGCAGGTTGCAGGGGCCGGACGATGCCGAAACCCTGCCAGGGGCGCCTGCTTTGGGCTCCCTGCTGGGCGAACTGCCAGCATGTGTGGTCAGCCTCGGGGGGGCGGTGGAGGCCTCATAGGGCACATCTGGGAGGTGTGGCTTTGCCTGTGGGCTCCGGCGGATGGAGGTGATGATCTTGGGCCGCACGTTCTTGGGTTTGGGTGGGTAGTTAGGCGGTGGGGAGCTTCCACTCCGCTTCTCTGGCTCGCGCCTTTCCTCTGGCCGGGCAGGGTGTTGAGGGATGGCCTTGGGGATGCCACTGGCGGAGCCCACCTTACTGGGAGGCTTTGGGCTGCCGCTGGACCGCCGCAGGTCATCCTGATGCTCCTGGGTCACAGCTCGGACACCAGCAGTCTTGGCCGGAGACGTCGGAAGCCTTCTCTGGGGAGAGCCAATAGGCTTGGGTGATGGTGGTGTTGTAGGGCGTGTGGGGCTTCCCCAGGGCCTCCTTGCCAGCTGGGCTTTCCTCTCCAGGCTTGGACTAATGATGCGTTTGTGTTCAAAAGAGCCCTGCTTCCTAAGGACTATGGAGTCAGAGGGCGGGGCTTGGGCAGCCGCTCTGATTGGCTGCCCCTTCTTCTGATTGCTGTTCATGTCAAAGGCTTCTTCGTCTCTGGAAATCCTGTCATTCATCTTCTGACTTGTCTTACACGACTCTGTTCTGGGATCAGGGCCATGGGCAATTCTAGGCTGGTCTCCACCAGAACTGTTAGGTGGGGGCAACTGTTCTTTGCTAAAAAGTGTATTTTCATTACAGTCTTTCACTGAGGACAAATCATCACTCGGCTTGAACTTATTCCCATTGATGTGTCCTTCTATCTGCCGAAGCTGCTCCTGATGTAGACTAACATCCAAATCAGCGGCGTCCATCGGCTCCTGTGTACATTCTTCCAAGGAATGAGTCGGCAGACTGGGTCTATTTTCAAAGGATGGACTTTTCTGCAAACTTAGACTAGTCTGTGCTTCCAGATTACATTCCTGTAATAAGACGGCCGAGTTCAGATTCACATCTACACACGTAGAGGTTTCTGAAGCTTCTCGACAAGAGTGTTCAGCTCGTCGGGGGCTTTTAGCATTCACTGGATTAGTAGGGATGGACTGGGAGGCCAAAGAGAGGTCTTCGCAGATGGTTTTATAAGGTTCAGTTGAAATGTGCTGGGACTCGTAAGTCTGCACCTCCCCAGTGCTGTCCAGGGCACTGGCAAAACTCCCCCCAAAAATGGACATTGTGGAAACACAGGACACAAAGATGTCATTTTCTGAACTGAAGTCAGCTGTACTTAGACACAAGGCTTTCCCTCTGCCCACCGAAGAGTGGGACACAGTAGATTCTGGGTCCAGAATGTTCCACGTGGCTGCTCGATCCTCTTCGCCATTGTGGTTCATCTCCTTGTCCATCACCTCCTCATTTTGATCGTAGGAGCCAAGCCTTTTCTCCGAGATGGACCCGTTTCCTATGACCTTCTCGGATTTGTGTTCCTCTTCTTCCAGGTAGGCCTCAAGCTCCAGACATTCCAGCATCTCGAACTCCTCCAGGTCGGGGTCGTCACACTGTGAGTCAGTCCCCCAGATGATGATCTTGTCCTGCTCGTCTCTTTGAGACACCAGTGGGGGGAGGGCGGCCAGATCTCTCATCTCGTTCATGTCCTTGGTCCCATTTTCATCTGCCCGGATTTGGTTGGCATTGGCATCTCCGTCAGGTACAAATAGGGTCTGTTTGTTGTCGTTCTTCATTCCGCCTTGGTGATCCTGGTAACTGGTACTGTGGGTGCTTTTTTGATCGCTCTCTAGGCTCATTGTTATGGACACAGCATTCACTGAAGCCTCAAGAAGCTCCACATCACTCTGGCGCCCATTAAATTTTGTCTCTGTTGTCTTGAACGTGTATGCTTTTGAAATCAAGGTATAAAATCGACCACAACATTATCTAACTGCAGGTATTTATGAGATGGTCCCTTTCACCAGCCTCATGACCCTATGATATCACTGCACAGAACTGTGGAATATAAGTAGAGGGAGCCTTGAACATGCAGTGAAGTATTTTCCATAATCTTCTTTACTGTTCAACCTGCAACAGAGAAGACGTCTTATATGAGAAACATCTTGTTATTATCCTGATTGCTGCAGTACCCTGATAGAGTAGAGGCACAATCAGGGGTGAAGAATAACACTTACAATTCAATGTGTAATCCATTAAGCATGGAAAAAATATCAGAATAACAGATTACTTGACTCTCAGACCAGTCACATTTTAAGTTCAGAGTATCGTTGCAAAAAACAGTGCCTTGTTTTCTTGTCTGCTGTTTCAAAACAGTTTCAAACGACTTTCAAAAGGCCCGTTCACTTTATATGCTATTGAGGTTTGTGTAAGAAACATTGAATGTCTGACTATGAAATGAAATCCTGGTTTGTTAACCACAGATAGTCCAAGAGTTACAACAAATCAATTGTCATTACAAACAGGAAATTTGTAATGGCCGCTTTTCTGCAGTCTAGATACACACAGCCCTTTTACACACCATGCTTTTTATGCAAAATCTTTTTACCCATTGGATTACATTCAAGGGCAGAGGAAATACGAGGAGCTTATTCTACCAAAATACAGCAGACAACCTTCATATTTACAATGAAATACAGAGATTACGCTTCTATGCAAACTGAAGTGAATTATTCCTGAAGCAAATTCAAGGCCGTTCATCAAATGTACAGCCTCTCGTAACCCTTGTGGGATTTAAGGCTTCAGCCACCAGCTGTATGGGCTACCAGCTGTATGGGCTACCAGCGCCACAGACGATTTATTTACTGTATTACTATCATGACACTACCAGGTTGGTATGCAGACACAGGTAACCATGTGCATATTAACTGGGAGTTTGAAGAAGCACAAATAAAACTGTCATTTGAGATCAAGCAGTTAGCAGCACTCACTGGATGTAAATATAGAGTTGCATGATGACTAACGGTCTAAAACAGTGTTTCCCAATCTGGTCCTTGAGGGCCCACAGACAGTCCATGTTTTTGCTCCCTCCCAGCTCCCAGCAAAAATCTGCACTGTCTGGCAGGGAGAGCTGAGGGAGTAAAAAACGTGGTGTCGGTGAGTCCTGGAGGAGCAGGTTGGGAAACACTGATCTAAGAGTTTGCTCTGTGCTGTGACTCATTTTGAATACAAGTAAAAAGTGTGCAACCACGACACCACCATTGTGAATGTAGGGGGAGGGGCAGCACTTGATTTATAGTAGATATTTTTTATACACACAGCGGCCCCCTAGATTGTGATTATGCAACAAGAAGAAAAACACCTCCTGTCATGAGAGGTTGTATTTTACTGGAATATGCTTGTGTGTGGCTGCATGGAGAAACCCCTGCTGGCACCTGCGTCCTCAGGCACAGACAAACTGTTAGCCTGCTAACTAGCAACCTGAGGCATGCCTAATTCATGGGTGTTGTAGTCCCGCTTTGCCTACAAATCCCAGGTTTTTCCACTAGGGGCAGCTTACCATGCAGGACTCAGCAGTTTCAGTGTTAAAGTCAATTTACCTCTATGAGTCAAACAAGGACCTGGTGTAGATATTCTTCCTGATCTCCCAGCAGGCTAAAGACTGTGAGTGACGGTTCATCCAGGGTGGGGTCCTGATGGAAACCCACCAAAGATCGACAGCATGCTGCAGTGCAGCTGCCATTTCCTGTCAGGCCTCCACTTCACATTGAGCAGGAAAAGCTCCTTGTCCTTCCTCTGCCCTTGAACGTAATCCAAAGAGGATGGGTAAAGAGCACGGCTGTGGACAAGGGAGGGGTCTGAGAGGCATCCTGCACTCAGACGGACCTTTGCAGTGACGAATAAGGTGGCAGATGTTTATCCTCAAAGCAAAATTACTGTAAGTAATTATTATTATTACTATGAAAGGGAGAGACTGATAGAAAAGGAGAGAATGGAGATCAGTCAGCTTTTATGCTGCCACGACAGCCTTTCATGTAGGCCTGCTCCTCTCAGAAGCGGACGAGGGGGCTGCACACGCACAGAGGGAGCCTGAAATCAGCACACTCAGCCACGTCAGGATACCAACATCACGTTACGGCCTGAGATGCGTCTGTCACAACCAAAGTGTGCGACTTTCTGAAAGAGCATTTTGAAGAATCTTTAATCATTTTCGTCCCCAACCTCAAACATGCCACCATTAATAGAGGAATACGATGATATGAGCACATCGAACTTGTCTTGAAAGCGAGGTTGAGCTTCAGATTAACAGCATTAAGCGTTCTGACGGTTTCTGGTCTCGGTTCGTTGTTCCCGCTATCTGTTCTGACGGCCCCACTTTGATTTGGGTGGGGGGGGGGAGACATAAAAATGTTCAGGCCACAGGTAAAATTAGGAATTAATATTAAGGCAGAGTGAATGAACCTACCTTTCATAGCCGTCAACAGCCATATCCGAAAACGATTATTCTAGACAATTGGCCAATTACGGCTAAGGGATCTGTGAGGGGGCGTGACTAACGCACCATGACAGGACTTCATTGGGCACATATGATCTGTCTTACTGATGCTGCCATCTTAAAATAAAAATGTGTCGTGACATCATGGATTATCCATGCTCACTGGTGAGCAACCCATGAGATGACACAGGCGGCTGCCTAGGGCACCATCTTCTGAGGGGCTGCCGACCTAGCCAGCCAGCTACACTGCGAGTATGACAGTGCCCCTCGGGCCCTCAGGTGTACAGCCAGCTACACTGCGAGTATGACAGTGCCCCTCGGGCCCTCAGGTGTACAGCCAGCTACACTGCGAGTATGACAGTGCCCCTCGGGCCCTCAGGTGTACAGCCAGCTACACTGCGAGTATGACAGTGCCCCTGGGTTCCTCAGGTGTACAGCCAGCTACACTGCGAGTATGTACTCATGCCCTCCATGTTGGTGGGGGGTGCCGCTTCTTAAGGAGGCTCGTCATGACGCTATCCTGGCTGAGCGGTTATGGAAAATGGATTTTAGGCATGGTCTTAACAGCTGGTAGGCAGCCAATACTCAAGTAGGATCACAAAGCAGAGACGAGGGCACCTTCACACTTAACTGGAATGTCACTGTTTAAGTGCTATTCAGCCACACTGGGGCTCAGTAGGTGGTGCTTATGCCCATCATACAGAGCAGTGGCAGGATTTGAACAACTATGGAGGTGGGAGGCAACAGGGCTGCTCACTGTGCCACCCTCTAGATTTGTAGTAAACCAAGACACTACCAAGACCAGAGGGTATTGAGACCAAGACAAGACCAAGACTAAGACCAAGACAGACCGAGTCAAGACAAAGACGAGATGAGACCAATACTGAGACTGAGACCGAAAAAAAAGACTCCCTTAACTTTTGTGTGGTGTTGAGGACTGACATGAAGGGTACTGACTGGTCCCAAAGTCATCTGACAAAACAGCTAACACCTCCAACAATTGTCTAAAGAATGGGAAATATGTAACTGATTTGAATTATACTTAATTTGTAGGTGATGTTAGATGTAATTGTAACATCAAATTGAAGATACACAATTATAAACTTAAAGTTGCATAATGTCCCTTTGTAGTAGTACTAGCCAAATGACACTGTATGATATCAACTTCCCTGAAATGGATTAGGCCTGTTAAGTCAACACAGCGTGATATGCAGATGTTATTTAAAAGTCAATGGTCACATTTATTTAGTCAAACAACACCATTTTAAGTAAAATACTGTAATCAAACAATATAAAGACATGCGCACACATCACAAGAATCAAATGCAAACTACAAATACTATATACCAATATAAACTGCACATCAAATTGTGCATTAATAAGAATAAGGACAAGTGCTTAAGAGATTCTGACATCTTGATGTCTGCAGTGGCATGTGATTACACATTTAACTAACGTTTAACTAGCGCTATACTTATTTTGCGCAAATAACGCAAATAAATTTTGATTGGATGCGCGCCGATGTCTGAATCACAACAAAATGCATGTATGTCATTGATTTGTTGCATTTGAAGGGCATGAAAGGCAAAATAATAATAATGTAGCATTATTGAACGTTACGTTGTGTGTCATGGATATTTTTTGCTCCAAATCTCCCGACCACTATGTTGATCTGAGATAGCAAGACGAAGACAGCGAGACCAAGACAAGACCGAGGGATCCGAGACCAAGACAAGACCAAGACCAAAGAACGTCGAGATTGTGACAAGACCAAGACCACGTAAAAGTGGTCTCGAGACATCCAACTCTACCATCCTCTGCTGAATTCCAGGCAAATAGGAAGCACCGTCCTTAACCAGACATGGCTTTATAATCCCGAACCATTGGCAGAGATGAGAAATCCATGGCCAATGACCTGACAATGCAGTGACACTAGTGGACAGCAGGGGGTGCAGTTTCACCACATGTGCCCTTGTTTGCCTCTCACAAAGCAGAGCACACAATAATGTTGTGACCCAGCAAGGAGAAATGCAAATTTTCATATTACACCAAAGACGGAATCATCGTAATGACTTCCCATAGTGATAGTACTAATTTACAGACAGCTCAACAGTCAAAAGAACACAAGTGAACAATAAAATTATATATAAATGTAAAATAATAATAACAATAGATACTTTATTAATCCTCATGGGAAGACACTCTTCCCACCTCACTCATCTAGCGCTCTGTAGGTGAGAACAAGCTGGCCACGAAGGGCAGCCACCCATAGCAGCACCCAGGGAGCTATCACAGACCCCATGCTGCTCTGCATCGTGATCTGCACCCTTTGATCGCGCTTCTGTGACACAGACAGCCCAGGCATGCTCCCCGCGCTCACTGACAGACCCTCACTGACAGACCCTCACTGACAGACCCTCACTGCCACCCAGACGCGTCCCCCTCCTCTCCTCTCCCTTTTTTCTCCTGCCTGAGTCAATGGAAGTTGCGACACCATCTTGACAAACAGTAAATAAGGGGAATCAGCCCCGTTAGTATAACCCATACCCAACCCTGCCCCCTCCCTGTAAGTGGGAGGATCCATCTGTATGTGTGTGTGTGTGGAATGTTGGACGACGGGACACAGTGTAGCACAACAAACTCAGACAGACAGACAGAGAGATAGACAGACACACACAAAGCCATGACAGGGATGTCAAATCACTTCACAGAAACGTGTCCCAGAGTGGTGATATGGGGGCGGCAAGGAGGGGGACGGGGGGGTGTAAAAGTACTTCATAAAAAATTAAAGGGCTGATTGAAAATGTCCTGCCCCCCACCCCACTGCTGTGTCCCACTGTGGGGGGGGGATTACCTGACACTCCCCCAGACAGAGAGCTCAGATGCACCGCTGGCCCATTAATACAGCTGTCCGTCAGTCATTAACAAGCCCCCCCCCCCCCCCAGCCGTTTCTATCATTAAAATTACACACAAAAGGCTGTTAAATAGGAACTGAGCGAAAATACAGCTAGCATACATGCTACTCCAGAACAATGGGAAACATAACGATTGCCTTAGGCTGTTGCATTACAATATATGCACGACATATGCTCAGGTTTATTAATTCAAGGAAATTAGCCAGGAATGCTGCCGCAGAGGATAGTTGTTTCCTGGGAATGAGTTGGACCAGGGAACAGGGTCAAATGACGCAAAGAAACAGCTGCAGGAAGCATGTCTCCTACTTTAGAGCCCGATTGCTGAACGTAACCTAACGACCCCTGACGAGCAGCGTGGGTCGAAGCGGACAGCCTTATGTCACGCCGGGAGCTAAGGAGTGCCCGTCAGCTGGGACTGAACGCGGCCTCACGCCATAGCTGTGACATTAGCATCGTAGCATGCCGGCTAACTGCTGCCGCTAATAGAAACACCGGAGCTGATAACGTGGAAGGAAGGTTCCGGAATGTCACTGGGGCATTAGAGGCACAGTGGCCAACTGGGCAAACCACCTCCTGCTAACAAAAGGGGCTAACTGCTAATTGCCAGTGTTTATGTGGGCATTCTTAGGTATAGACCAAACACACATCCTTGAATTCTATCTAAAAAGAATTAGGCTGGAGGGCACTGATGTTCCTCTGGCTTTGCTGCTTTGTGTGCAGCACATCAGCTCGTCCTTTATATCCCCGCCTCCGTGTTGTTGTTACACTGCCACCTGCAGTGGGTGTGACCAGATTAGCTCAGCCAATAGGATCACAGCTGTCACAAAGTCCCTCCCCTTTTCCCACACGGCTTCTGTATAGTCACATAACCCTTCCCCCCTGTGAGAAAATCTGGACGTGGGACACTGTGTTCAGGCTGGCATCAACGCCACTGTGCTGCAGTGTCTTCCAGGTCCCCGCGGGGCTGCGTTCAGGCGCGCGGAAGAGACCCGCGGGTGGGGGAAGCGGCTCTGCATCGCTGTTTGCCCTTGAGCCTCAGACTGCCTCTGCTGCCTCAGACATCGTGCGGCGCCTTTCTCAAGGCTGTCTCAGAGGAACGGTACCATTTAGGCTCTGGAAGATGTCTGAGTCAGCTTACAAGACACGCTCATGTACACAACACAACACACACAGAATCTATGAATATTGAAGAAAAAATATTCATAGGTTGTGACATCCATCTGCAGAAAATTTCACTCAAACACAATAAACAGATGTACAGAACACTTTAAACATCAACACAACTGAATACTAAGGCATTATTTACATGTTAATTTTCAGTTTTAATGTGCATTGCATTAGATTATTATTGTTGTACAGCATTAGGTAGCAAAATTAATCTGTTACAAATATCTGCCTCAAATGTCTCTGTGAAATCCATGCTGCAGAAACAGAACACAGTCCAAGGCTTCTACAAATACTCCTAGATTCATTTCCCCCTGAATTTCCACCTTTCTACTCCACTGACTTTATTCTTTACCTTCACCCCAGCTTCTGCCCAGGTTGCCAAACATCGATAATGGAAGCCCATCACATAACCTCTGGGTTTGTCTGCCTGAACACACACTCCAGGAATGATGGTTCTCCTTCCTCTGGAGGACTTACACCTTACACTCAAAGCAGGATGGTCTTACCCAGCAAACTGGATGAAGGACTTTGGTGACCTGACTCCACAATCTCCTCAATTCAGATTCTGCTTAATCTGCAGACACTCTGGTGGCAGAGTGATGAGGAGCGTGTCCTGGGAAATCATCAGATGACTGTCTGACAGCCTCACTTGAAAAGTCACGTCAGGAAGGTCGCGGTCTCAGAAAGGGGCCACTGATCTTCTCAGTCAAAGAGCACGAGATCCAGCATAGACGCTGCATTTGAACATTAAAATTAATATTATTAATTACGAATCAGCATTTTATTTAAGCTATTTAATATATTCAGGTATGTTAAATAAGGTAACAAATTTCCATTTATGTGAACTTTATTTTCACGTGTTTAGATGTGCCTGGCCAATAGTGTGAGCAAAGCAGAATATCGTTTTATGCTATTTTTTCCGTGCATTTAAGAGATGATGTGTTACATTTCCATTCATAACCGTAAAAGGATCTCCTGACTTTATTGAAAATAAGACTGAGGATGACAATTAATCCCTGTGGCTGAATGTTAGCCAGTTCATGCAAGTTACATTGTATTACACTGAATTGGGGTTCATTAAAAGCCAAAACGGTTAAAAATAACAACTGACACTTGGAAAAAAAAAAAATAAAGATTCAGTAGCACTCGAACCAGGACACTTATCTGTTACATATTAATTGTTAGAATGCTTCTAAGTGTCGCCAAGTGCTAATTTTAGCATACCACTGATAAGACATGAAGTCTATTACAGTAATCATTTTTTTAACTGCAATGTCTTACTACAGGACCAAATTTAGCAGGTGAGATTAGAGTAAATACAGTTTCCCTGTATTAACGCAACATCTAATCCTAACCTAACGTCTAACCTGCAGAATCCAACCAAGGTGAGGCCCTCATTAGACTGTACTGGTACAGATACCAGCGGCCAGTAAGGGGTCACCCATCATGTGATCTGTAAAGGCCACACATGATTTATAAAAGAGGAAGGACAGTGATTTGTGTGTGACAGAGTGAGTGACAGTGGCTTTGAGTCCTGCATTTGTATCCAACTATGGTACATAAACATGCAACACCTCACTGGCAGGGAAATGCAAGGCGGCTCATCCGTTTCCCCACGTAAAATGCACTGCCGGAAGAAATATCTACCTCTAACAAATCCCCCATGACATTCCCAAATATCCCCCTTTTCTCATTTAGGTAACATCCGCCAACCTGGCAACCCGAAGAGGCACTTAAATAGAATCACAAAGGAAAACGCACCCTACTAATTATCCATCACCAGTCCAGCAGTGTGAATCTGTACTAATTATTTCATATTACAAGAATCTGTGGCAAATTTAAGCAGTCAGTGTGAGGCCCAGTAATGGTTATTATTCACTGGCATTAATCAGTCTCTCATTCATTCATTTACTTGCTGTACATATGTAAATTACGCTCTTTGAAGTTAGAATCCCATTTTAATGGGACCCCTGACAAACTGCCAAGCTCAAGGTACCATTTTTGTGGCAAAGCGAAGTAAATAGTTTCCAATTAGAGTCAGTTTGTTGGTATTTTTCAGTGATGAGCGGCATATAAGGAGTTCACCTACAGAACAGTTGCTGAGATCGCAGCCGAGCATGCGTCAGGAAGAGAGCGACGTGCACTTTCAGCAGCCAGTGAACTTCCTGTTAATTTTACCGGTGATCCACTGGTCCAGAAAAAAGGCACAGAAAGTCATAAAACCTGGGGAGGCAGTAGCAGTAAGACCACCTGAAGCCCTGGGGTGTGTGTAGGACAGGCGGCCCCCTTTCTGCCCACAACTCCACGGCCAAATCGCGGTCCAGCTGCTAAAATGATAAGGAAAAAATTTAAGTCATGTGGGACGTGCATTTCAGACTTTTTAATGCCATTTAAGGCCTTACTTGTTGCTAATCTGACGTAACGTTTTTTCATGCTTTTTAAAGGCCCAGGGAAATTCTGGTATAAGGGAGGAAAGCAGGAGTCATTTATAAGCCACCTAGCTAAGCTCACTCAGTCCTATCAGCTTGTTTGTGTGAATGTTTACATTTCCGTCACTGCCTGGGACGACACGCACACTTTCTGCACTAACAGGGTCATACCCAAAGCAATCCAAAACGAGTTCTTTCCTTTCCATTCGTTTCTCCATTTGCAGTATTAGCTCAGTTAGCATAGCCTGGGAAGGCTAGCCTGCAGAGTCTGTGTCATTATATCCACTTTCTGAAGGCCGTGATTTTCTTCCCTACGATTCTATTTTATTCCTGCTGTACTAAACATTACAGCTTCAACTTAGTTCCCCCCTTTACAAACTGTCATTTTCATTTGTATTTCATTTAAGAATGATATGTTTTCACCATTAGGTTTCATTCTCGTGTTAATGATAATATCACTGTTTTGCTGCATGGTTTTACTGTATTAACACTCTGGTAGTTCAACCACAAATGAGGGACCGTTTCCAATCACTGTAAGCATAAATCACAGAAAGACCATCCAAGTTCACACTCCCAAAATAATCAAGAGGCCCTTGTTCACACATGTCAAATGAGTCAGCTCTGAATTCATGATCTTCTGCCTCTCTACACAGTAAATGTCTCATTCAGAAAGCAGCCCCTCTGTGTGTTTCAAGTAAATTTTTATTTCCTAAGAAAAACAATGTGCATAGCCTTCTCCATTTCTGGATTAAAATGATTTGTGCTGCAATGTGGAGGGCCAGACTCCCACCTGCTCGCACCTAAAATGCAGATCCTTGACGGCTACAGAATGAGAGGTAAACATCGTCCCACCTGCTAACATTTTATTCCACACCGACAATAGAGGTGATGCATAGTGCAGCTGAATGCAAACTGCGCCCCCAGTGGAGTGCTGCGGTACCGCACCGGAAAATGCAAGTGCTGCCATTATGTCAAAAATGAGTCATGAATAAGTCATGCTAGAAAAAAGGGCTTCTGAAGTGGAAGAGGAGCATAAAAAAGAGAGGAATCAATGCAGATGAGAGGTGTAGTGAGACAAGGAGAGCAAAGAGCCTCCACTAGGGGCAGCTGCCTGCATACTATAAAAAAGTAATCCCTTCCGGGAAATTCCTTCTAAAGCATTTCTTAAAAGCAAAAATGCCTTAAGGTGTCTGTGCTTTAAAAGCACTGCTATTGTTATGTAAATGTACATAATCCCAGAGCGCACCTGCAACATAAAGGATGTAACAAAGTTTGTTAAACATTTTTCCCCTCTGTTTGTATGCTTGAAATTGCCTAATGCATTAAAGATATGAATATTTTTGGACATTCTAAACAGATTTGGGTTAAGTATATTTCTCAAAAAAAGAGGTTCCTCTCTTGGTCTTTTGGTGAAAAATTCTGCTCATAAAAAATTACATTTTGCATATGAGATAGAAGGAATAAAGTTGTAGAAAAGTAGTTATTGCATTAGTTCATTCTCCTTATTCTTACAAAATGATTAAATGCAAATACTTAAGGTGCAACATAGTGCAGATACCAAGGAGTTTGAGACTTTTAAAGAGTTTCTCTGTGAGGTAAAAACATTTTCTGTGATCTCGCGATGCAAACCATATTTTTAACCTGGTTTAACTTCAAGACTTGTGTGGGTTAAGGTCAGCATATGAAACAAGTTCTGTCACCACAACCCTGTATGGAGAATGGATGGATGGATGGATGGATGGACACTACAGCTGTGCTCATACTGATCATCTCAGAGCCTGTCCTCAGCTGATAAGGGCCAGCTGGATCCCTGCACTGGGGCTGCAAACCATGTGACAGAAGTGTGTAAGAAGGAATAAACCAGTTACCAAACCAGTAACAGGCCTGATGGAGTAGTGGGTGTTTATCTTAAAATTCAGCATCACTCCTAAATGATTAAGCTCTCTACCCAGCAAGGATTTAGGCATAAACAGAAATACAACGAATCTCCAGAGGAAAAAAAAACACATATTATGTCACTAAAGAAAAATCAAATGCTAACAAAACAGGTCTATTGCATTGAATATGTATTTTTAGAAAATAAATCTAAATCCATAATTTCTGGAGTTACGAGCATCTAACATCCCCATACATTATGACAAAACAAGACCAACATTTAAATGAATTCATTTTGTTATGGGACAGGCAGCATTTCGCACCATGGCATTAAAATAGAAATCCCCTAAAAGTAAATGAGGCAAGATTCACACCCTGTAGTTAAATGGACTTGTCATTTTCGGTTGAACTAAAAAAATATTAACATTACAATGAGATTCGTGCTAGTCTGATGTAACACATAATACACGTGTTAGGAACTGCATCCCTCGGGTTTGCAGGTCAGGCAAACAAGGAGAGGAAGTCAGGGCACTGCAGGAAAATAAACAGCATCAAAGATCAATGCTCATAAATGTCTGTGTTCGCACATTAACATCAACATATCACTGAAAGCTAAATGAAGGAAATGTTATGTAGGTTAATTGCGCGCCAGAGCAACAGTAGGCTAACTCGAAGGAATTTAAGCAATTAATTTAGAAGGTTTTGCTTTTGTTAGTGACATTTTTAGTTGGTAACTTCCAGGAACCCAAAGGCAACAGCTCAGACGTGAGCCGCTTTGCGCTGCGTCAAAATATAGGACATTAATAAACTGCACCAAACCAGTTCTCTGACAAATCGATCCAGTCCAGTATTTTTATAAATTGCCCCAATCTAGTCATTTAATAAAATTTGGTAATAAATCCAGTACTTTGATTAAGCGCACAATCCAGCATTTTGACAATCTGACCCAATCCAGCACCTTGATAAAGCGCCACAACTCGCGATCTGTCCACTTGCATAGCGTAAGAGGGTCAGAAAACCGCGCGTCCCGCAAACTGGGACCAGCAATTGTCATGCTGGGGGCTGCCAGCAAGGGTGACATTATCCAGCCTTTTAAAACCAGCGTCGCATAACCGCGATCGGACGGAGGACCGAACTCAACACACGGTTGCGTCTAATCGTACCAATGGGTCCACCGCGTCCCCCCGGTCTCCTCCTCACACATCAAATACACGCTGTCAGTTATGCAGGGTTATTAAGCAGATCACCAAGGATCCATTAAAATGGGATTTGTGTCGCCGAAGGTATGGCCGCAAAACATCACATTATTAATTCCGACAAAAAATAACGTGTCTGTGCCAGCAGGGTCGAATGAATACAAAGGAATGTGTTTAAAACAACTGAAGCATGATTTATTGACCGGTTTTTCGTTCACTGTAATGCAGTGACAGCAGACCGAGCTACAGCAAACCGCAAATGCCTGCGAAATATTTTCAAAGCAAATTAATCGGAATGCTGGGTACGCTTTACAAGGTGACCAGATTCAACGTGTAAGGAGGTTTTAGTAGGTCACTGGAGAACAATCGCCTGGCACTATAAGGAGATTGACTTTAACGCTGTCATCCGTCAAAACGCAGTAATCTGTGCATTTCGCACCGAGCTGCAGTGTGCATGGCTGGATGGAGGAGCGCACACCTCGGCACAGCCAGGCAGGAGACCTTACGCTGCATCATTTAACTCCATCCGACGCCTCCTCTTATATAATAAACCGGACTTACCTTTACAGCAGGTCTCGATGACGATCTAGCCGCATGTGCAGAGGAGGACGCCGCACATCTGTATCTCATGGGGAACGCGGAGGGAAAAAACACCGATACGCACCGAGAGGAAAGGGAGGCAGAAAGGGGGAGGAGAGCAACAACCGAACGGGAACACCGTCGCTCCCCCGTCAGGTTTTCGCCATTTCGCCAGGCCTTCGCGGCTCGTGAGCGCCACCTAGTGACCTCCACCGGAATTGGCGTTACCTGTGCGGCAGGCGGGCGGGCGGCGCTGTGCAAATAACCTCGGGAGCAGTTTATGATCCGACGTTTATATATCTGTGGCTAACTGAAAAAAATCGATGAATTCGGAAAATATACAATTTCGGTTTGATCAATACAATCGGTTTCCTGATTTATTTTAGCATGAAAATAATTCTTTATTACGGGATGTTACAAGTAGCAAAAATACTTCTAACAATATAATGCAAAATGATGAAAATCGTATATGTGAAAAGCGGACTTTATTTACATACATTTATAAACGGTCCGGTTTAAATGCTGGTAACATGAGGTCGTTAAACATAAGTAGTACTTCAAATGCCAGTTCGGAGTAAACGGTCGAATATGCAAATAAAAAGTTAGCAACAGACCAGAAAATAAGCGCTATGAAGATGCGGCCACATCATCTCCACATCACGTTTACATAGTGGAAACACGAGTGAAATAGAAATTTCAAGTGTAAAAAGTCTTCTGCTCGGACTATTTTTAATCCACCTTTATACATTTGTGGTCCAGTTAAAACCCGTTAAGCACACGAATAATTATTCAATATTGTTGTAATATATGGAGTACCGACCATTGGGATGAGGAAAAAAAACTTAAGATTAATAAACAATACCGAAGTAACTGCAAAACGAACGTCAAATACACAACAATAAAGGATGAGTTTTCCCTATTCCTTCTCGCTTCAGTTTAGAATATCGCGCCACCTTGCGACGGGAAAGATTAAAGCATATAGCCAGCATTGTGCGGGCAGCAGTTAAATATCGCAAAATGGCCTTTGCTTTCACTAAGGATGGCAAGCTTAGAGAGAAGGTTAGCAATGGCAGAAAAATGCCAGCATGAGCAAAAAGTAATTGCTCACTGCCTTCCCACAGCGACTGTGACTAAGGATGTGTATTCAAGGCACATGTTAAAAAAGGAAAATTTACACACGGTGTAAATTTTACACATTGCACTTTTCGCTCTATTTTAATGCAACCTTCATAAACATTTCCATTGTGCCACTGTACTTGCTATGTAAAACACAGACAAAATAATACAGCTTTACAGGGTTGTCTCCAAATAAACTATTTCCATGAAGAAATAAACATTATGTACACACATTTCATGAGTTTCCCTTAAAGCATGAACAATTTCACATTTTGAGTATTCATTGTGTGTCCATTTTAATTACATCGCTATTAATTCACTTCAATAAATAGTCATTATGGCTATGGCAACAGTACTTAAATAAGTTTTTAAAAAATCCATCAGCGCAAACACAGGCAGAGAATGGCAATGGTATGACACCATAAAGGAATTGTTCATTTCTGTCCCGGCAAACAGGATGCAGGTCAGACAGACAATCTTAGGTAGACATAAAACCCTTTTAAAAATTAATTTACAATAGGCAATAACTTAACTGTTTCAAAAGATTTAAAAAAAACACACAAGCCTTTTCTGCATTAAAACGTGCATAAAATCTGCGCATCACCATTTGTCAAGGGATTTGAACTCAAATGGCATCAAATACTAAATTTAAAAAATTCACGTTGGCAAACAGTAAGCAAAAATAAATACATATGTATTCAAGAAATCTCAAAAAGGCATTTCTGTAAAACTGACCATTTTCAGTGTTTAGATTGAATGACACTTGCATAGAACCAATAAATCAATTAAGGCTAACAGTTGCTTTCCTATTAAATCCACAGCTGGACAGAAAATGACTGAAGAAACAAACATCGGCAAGCATTCGGACCAGTAGGGTTTGACAATTATTAAATACCCATTAGCTTGTCAGGTTTCTTTTAAAGGAACAGGAATGCTCTAAAAAAAATCTACCTACTCAATTTCATTGGTAAAATAAAAATGCATTAAATGAAATAAAAATAAATTCTCAGTTATTACCCGCATTTGTGTAAGTGGGATAACAGGATGGTTGGTTGGACAACACACACCTCATTTCATTCATGTTTTACCAGTGGCTGTTGGGACAACAACATGTAACTTTAACATCCTTCAATAGAAAAACAAACAGGAAATAACCAAATATCAAATCTATCAAAACTTAGGCACCATTTAAGTAAGGGTGTTGCAGAATGTACGAAACCTTCGCCTGCCTTCAATTGACACTTTTGGCTTTGCTCTCAGCTGACACACACATAGTTACGTCGGTCCATGAATAGCTGAAAGGGAAGACGCCGTATGCAGTTGAGCATCACTCCCAAGCTGGCCTACATCTCTTCAGCTTCCAGAACGTCTTTGCCTGCTCAGCACAAGCACCCATAGACCAGACCGACAAGACCAGCTGAGACACAGATGACAAATACATCACCCGAGATGGATAAAGGTGATCCTAAAACACCTGCAGTGAAATGCAGTGAAAAATAAAGAAATGGGACAAACAGTTGTCAATAACAGCCAGAAGAAGGGAAAGAAGGACCAGCAGCAGATAATTTGAAGATACTTCCATACCCAAGCAGTACAGAGACTTCCAGTTCCTATCAGTTCCTTCCTCTTAATCAGGGTGACATCATGCTCAGAAAGCAGAATTAAATTTGGCTTGAAGGGTCTCTACTCCGCACACAGTCTGGTGACCGGCTTTATCCCCCAAAAACGAAACCCGGATATTTTAAACGTCGACCGCTTTGTCGATGTCGTCGCAGAGAAAGGCCTATATTTCCAAGCTCTCTTTGTCTGGCGTGGAGTCCTTTGGGTTCTCGTCGATCTTGAGCTCTGTGCCGTATGCGGACAGGGCAGCCTCTTTGCTGTGGTGAAGGCCGAAGCAAAAATAGATGAGGAAGCCTGGGATGAGAAGGAACATGGGAGACATGTTTATAAACATGCAGAACATTCATGCACTAACAAGTAGGGTGATGTGCAGGGATCAATAACTATATGAAGAAGGCAGTGGATTCAAATCCTGTGGCTGTAATCAGATAAGTTTCATGTCCTTCAGCAAGACCCTTAACCCGTAACTGCTCCAGTGGTGTTGGATGGTGGCTGACCCTCCCAGAGTAGTTGGACAAAGCAGTTAAATCAGTATCTAACTGCATATAACTGCATCAGTCCTCCATTCCACTCATATTACATACAAATGTGTGTGACCGACGTAAAGATCCAGTGGACGCACCTATGACCATCCAGATGGCGAAGCGGAGCCAGGTTCCCCTGCCGAGCTGCATCATCAGGTAGACGTTTATGAACATGCTCAGCACAGGGAGGAAGGGCAGAAGAGGGACCTGGGGGGGGCAGGGAACAGAGATTCATCACGGCGGGGCCCAGCCAGCCTCCTCTTACTACAGCACTGTCCCAACCCGCTCCTCATCCTGTCTTGATACTAAACACTAGTTATGGCCATATGAAGCTTCCTGAACCATTTGCTCTATTTTCTGACCCAGAGCAAACCAAGAGCACCATCTAGTGGGGTCAAAAAATACAGCAAATACATCATCATCATCATCATCATCATGAAGCTTCATTTGCCCACAAACACCAAATTTCACAAAAATGTCACTTGGAGATTTTTATAAACAAAGGCACTGCAATTATCATACACAAGTGAATGGTATTCACTCACCACATCTAGGTGAAAATAATGAGCTTTTATAACGGTTGCTCCTGCTGGTATATTGATGTGGCTATTAGCTTTTAGCATAGCTTACACTGACCTTAAAGGAGAGTTTGGTCTTGCTCTCAGGCTGCCTCCAGATGATCAGGGTGAGGACCAAACAAATCAGGCCCAGGATAAGCAGAAGCACCCAACTCCACAGCGCCAGGCCCCCATGAACCGCCACGATGCACATGGCGCAGATCAGGACCCCTGAAATGCGGGAATGGCGGCGTTCACATAACCCACACGATAGCACCACCAAGTGGCCAAAGAGTGTTAATCACTGCTACGGGTGTTATGCATGTGACTGTCACCCCAGGAGGCACGGCCGTTGAGGTGGCGGGGCTGTGACCAGCATCTCACCGAGCAAACCGGCACAGATGTTCACCACGAGGCCCGAGGTGTGTGAGGGCTCCTGGTTCTTGGGGAACACCAGGACTCGTACGCTGAGGCTCTCCTCTGCACTGGATGGGAATCCAGAGCTGGCCCGGCTAGACGCCTCGCTCAGATCACCCTCGTCCTGCGTGTTCGCCATGTGGTACACCAGGCTGGGCTGCTCCCGCTGGTACCTGGGCGGCAGCAGGCAGATGGGCTGTGTGAACTCATAGCAGCAGCGATTCTCACCAGCGATATTAAAAACCTGGGGAGGCGGGACTGTATGCCATCAATCACTGGTTAAACTGAATTCCAATTGGCTACTTCGCTCATTTCAGATGGCGCCAAGCCAAATAATTATTAACAGTATGGTAAACTAGGGGCTGCAGATCGGAGCAGTTGGTTCTCCTTCTTAGCAAAAGAGGGAATTGAAACTTTTGAAACTAACACAGATTTTTGGAATATGTGCATTAAATTACGTTAAATTAATGTAAAGTAAACTATTTCTGGTCTGAGAAAGGCGTCACAGTCATGCATTGTAGTGTGTTACACATCTTACCAAAAGTCGTAAAAAACTGGGAGTAAATGTCTCATATTTGCTAGCGCTGCCACGGTACAGACGAGCGCAGAGCGTCAGCTATGCTGCCACAGTACAGTGAGTGCAGAGCGTTAGCTATGCTGCCACAGTACAGACAAGCGCAGAGCGTTAGCTATGCTGCCACAGTACAGACGAGCGCGGAGCGTTAGCTATGCTGCCACAGTACAGACGAGTGCAGAGCCCCCTCTCGCATTCCTCTCCCCCTCTGCTGAAAACGGTGACAGCAGAACACACCTTAAGACCAGGACACACGCAGCCACCAAAGTGTAAGCCAGCAAGGTTCCAATGGACATGAGGTCAACCAGGTCCTTGAGCTCAAACAGGAAGGCCATGACAGCTGTAGGGGAACCAAAGGCAACATCGCCATCACGTCAAGTTCTGGCCCAGGTGAACGCCAGTTTTAACACAAAATAACACGTTATTTCAACAGGAAGCTCTGTTCAAATGATTTAAATCTAACCAGTTCTTACTGGAACTGAAAACCAAACCCAAGCATCCAGTGGTCGAGGTAATGAGTAAGTTCCTGGATGTCTGATCATGAAAACGGCCCAACTGCAGTGCTGTGTGTCAGTGTGTGGGGCCTCACCTGCCACGGCCCCCGAGATCACGGTGGCGACCAGAGGAGTTTTGGTTTTCGGATTGGTTTTGGCCAAACACTGGAAGAGCAGGCCGTCGTCTGCCATGGCCCAGATGATCCGGGGCATGGGGAACATCGCGCCGAGCAGGCTGCCGGCAGGTCAGGGGGGAGGAGGGGGGAGGAGGTCGGACCGTGAATGCAAAGGAATCAAGATAACTGGAACTACACAGAAAATTCATGCAATGCGGAACAATCCTTCCTTAACCGAGTACTAACCAACACAAACTAAAAAGGCCACATATTTATCAAGCTTTCTGGCTCAAGTTTTACTTGCCAAAATGACGTGTCGTATCCCACAATGCACTGCATCTCAATATGATTTTACTACAGGCGAGCAGATCCACACACAGAGTATAAGCCAGGTCATGGGGCAGGGCGGCAGCCTACCTGGTGGACAGGGCGCAGAGGGACCCCACCGCCACTGCGTAGGTGGCCCCCTCCCAGCCCACGTGCTTGAAGGCCACGGGCAGCGGGCTGTACTTGTCCAGCATGTAGTATGGCATCATCATAGTAAGGGCGGCGGACACGCCGAAGTAGGCCACGAAGCAGATGAGGAGGGAGGCCACGATGCCGATGGGGATGGCCCTCTGGGGGTTCCTCACCTCCTCGCCTGAGGAACCCAGAGCAGGAGCCCACATTGAGCACTGAAGACCTCAGGCTACACCGTAGGGCTGGGCGTGGTGCTTTTAGGCAGATTAGCCATACACAATATTTTCTATGAAGTGGGCTAAATGGTCATTTTTAGATCAAAACCATATGCAGGATGATTTTGGTTCCTCGCCTTTCCCCAATATCAGATTCCCCATGAGACACTAAGCGAGTGCTTTGAAGTTAGCTGTGAATTCTGGGATTCTGTGCAGCGTCACAACCGAAGCCCTCGTATTACTTACAACCAGGAAGGAATACTAATGGTTTCTATTCAAAATATTTAAGGGAGCCCTATTTTTTTTCTCCTCCTTGTAAAGCCACCTTGGGTTTGTGAAAGGTGCTATATAAATCTAACTTTAAATTAGGTAAATTATTATTATTATTCATTTTGATGCACGCTAAAAGTACATTGATATAAAGGGTATTGTGTCATCCTATTCTCCTATTAAAATATATTGTCCATATAGATAGATATACCGGAAACATTCAACAGACCCCCCCGCCCTACAACATCGACTACTGATTCTGGGTGTCAACTGAGGGCACGGCACTATTTAAAAAAAAAAAATTAATTAAGAAGCACATAAAAAAAAGAATCAATTCCTTGAAGCTAACAGTTTTTTAAATAACGAAAACATCACTGTTCTCGCAACCCTGCCCAGGATAAGGGGCTAGCAGACCAATGTGTTGAACATCATTGTCATCAAAAAAAAATGGGGGGTTTTGGTTAAATTAACCAAGTGAAAAAAAGACTGACCCAATTGGTAATGTGGGGTATCATCAGCAAACAGGGAATTGCCTCCCAGTCACAGTCGAAGATGATCGCTGAGGGCATCTGAGCAGACGACGTCCTGTCACTCACCAGTGGTGGCGATGCAGTCGAAGCCCACGAAGGCGTAAAAGCAGGTAGCCGCTCCAGACAGGACCCCCGTGAAGCCAAATGGCATGAACCCCCCCTCTCCGAGGTTCTTGTCCGACAGTGGAGAAACAGATACACTGGCAGGGACAGCGGTGAAGAGACGGTTTATTAAATAAATTTTTTTAAAAAAAAAGCCAAATATGCACTAACATTGAACAAAGCATGGAACAAGTCCTTCAATATCATACGCATATGAACAAGAGACAATCCATCACGACTCAGCACCACCAGCTCTGGGGGTTCAACTTTTGCCCTAACTTTGTGTCTGGGGAGTTCACTTTGTCCCACATTACCTGCAAACGTGCTCCGTGGCAGGCCAGCACCCCATCCAAGGTCTACCCTGCCCCAATTAAGGTCTACGCTCGTCATAACATCAGCAGAGTTCCCAATAAAAAAAACCTTCCACCTACTTGAAGAGTGAGTTGGTGCTGTTGCGGACCTCATCGGGATTCAGGATCCAGTTGCTTTTGGACCCCTTGACAAAGCCTGAGACCACCACGAAGAACAACACCAGAACGTTGATGCAGGTGAACACCTTGTTGACCAGGGCAGATTCCTTGACCCCGAACGCCAGGAGACCTGAGGATTGGTTGGGGATGAGAGCAGAGGTGAGCTCTTCTTAAGAAGTCTGGCAGATACAGACCACAGATACCAGGCTGCTCTATGGTGAAAAAATTATGGTGAAATTAACATTTTTGATCCTTTCTATAAATCAAATTTACTAAATCCAGGGTTCCCCCAATTGTGGCAGAATAAATTTCCATGACTTTTCCAAAACTTTTCCAGTACCATAACAAAATTTTCCAAAACCCACAAGTTTGTAAAACTAAAGTAGATAGAACAGTACTTGTTAACTATTGACTTCTGCTTGTACATTTCCGTTAGCGTGTTGCGGAACGAAGCTTGAAACAAAAATGAACGAGGCTAGTTTCCAAAACTTTTCCCCTCTTTCCAAGAATTCCAAAACTTATCCAGGGTCTGGGAAAATTATTTCAAAATTCCAAAACTTTTCCAGGTTTTCCATGACCGCGGGTACCCTGTGAAACATTACATGGGCCACCATGCAGGACAACGAAGGTGGTGTTTTAGACGGGAATTGCTTTTACACATTGATGGTAACCAAGTAATGCTTAATCAAGACATTACTGGGGAAATTAAACAATAGGTGACAGCCAATAATTATGACCAAACTCCATTGCTGAAACAATCCAATTTCTTTAAATCCTTTATTGTTCCCCTTATTCAATCTGTTCTCCCATCTTCCTTGTGTTATCCGAGCATGTGGCTTCCTTAAGGCACCAGGGACAACGATATGACTGCATGTTCACACGATCGGCCACGACTTCAAGCAGGTTAGGCGCAGGTACCTGTCAAGAGGAGGATGATGATGACGGCGAACATGTCCGGGTACTCGGCCAGCACGCCGGGGACCTTCATGCTCAGGTGAAGGCGGCAGAAGCCCTCGATGTGCTTCCCGATCATCCCGTCGAACGTGGCGCTCCAGGCCCGAGCAACACTGGACGTTCCTGGCGGAGGGTAAGGAAACAGGGTTCGAGGTCAACTCTACTCAACACTGAGGACTGTGAACCGTGTCACATGGCTCTTCAGAGATGAGAGGGCCAGTACAGCCTATTATGGGGCACTGTAACACCTTCTGTTTACCAGCACTTTCTCCAAAGCAGCTAACATTTTTCTCCATTTATACGTTGCTATGTCCTGGGGAGACACTTCGGATCCAGTTCTCACTCAGGGCGTATGAAGCTTACATATTCTCCCTAGAACGCTCCCCAGTTTCCTCCCATATTCCAAAAAAAAAAACATGCACTTAGATAAGAGCAATTGAGAAACTCCAGCTTAAGATAAGATCCCAGGAGGAATTAGTGCATAGGTGTGCAGGCTTGACGACGGACTAGCATCCCGTCCAAGGGACAGATGCTATGTCCCTACAGAATCAACTCTGATCTTTTCATTCGACTTTAAATATACAGCTTTTGGGTTACAAGAGCGCAGCCTGAAAGAGCCCCCCCATCATAAGAGCATGACCAATAAGCAACCGGTGCCACAGCATTTCCTGTGACTTGCATTCCTTAAATATGAAGCTACCAGAGGGCATCAATTAAAGGGCCAGTTCACCCCATAACAGAAAAAATATGTGTTTCAAGGGGGTTTTAGTGCTATCTATCCATCAGGGCTGTTCTGCTGGGAGCTGGTTAGCCTTGGAGATATCGCCTGTAGAAATGTCATTCTTCTCTCAAACTCCTCACACTCGCATCACTGGGCAGAAGATACGAGCACCCCGGCGTTATCGTCTGCGCAGTGATACGACTGCTGTGTGGAGTTGGGTAGGAGAACATAGTTTATACATTAAACTGCTCACTACAAAGTCTGCAGATTATCTTCAAAAACCGGGTCATGATTTCTGGTAAGAGATGTTGCTGCTGAATTTTTCAAATGTATTTCTGTCGCTTTAATCACTACAGAAAGGTGCCGTTCACTCCCATTAAACTGGACTGAAGCCCGTCATTTCTATGGCAGATATCTCGAAAACTCCCAGCAGAACAACCTAGATGGACAGATAGCACCAACCCCCTCTAAAACATCTGTTTTTTGGTTTTAAGGTGAACTTACAACCAGAGAAGGCTGACATGTCTATGGCAGATATTACCAAAACTAGGCAACTTCCAGAAAAACAACCTAGATCAGGGGTCTCAAACTCCAGTCCTGGGGGGCCAGAGCCCTACACAGTTTTTGGCTGAATCATTTGTGGTGGAAGGGGGAAAGAACTAAGCTACACAGGGCTCTGGCCCTCCAGGACTGCAGTTTGAGACCCCTGACCTAGATGGATAGATGGCACCAAACCCCTCTAACTCGTATCTTTTTTTGTTTTACGGTGAACTGCCCCTTTAAGAAAGGAATCATCCATCAGGAGCTGTAAGCTGTCAAATGTAGCATACAGACACACAGCCATATATATTTACCAATGACGTAGGAGAGGATGAGGTTCCAGCCGGTGATGAAGGCCCAGAGCTCACCCACTGTCACATAGCTGTAGAGGTAGGCGGAGCCAGTCTTGGGGACTCGCGCCCCGAACTCTGCATAACACAGGCCAGCCAGCACTGAGGCAGCGGCCGCTATGAGGAAACTGAGCACGATGGCAGGCCCCGCGTTCTCACGCGCCACCGCCCCCGCCAGGACGTAGACGCCCGCCCCCAGGGTGCTGCCCACGCCCAACGCAATCAAGTCCATGGTGCCCAGGCAGCGGGACAGGCGGGAGGAGTCCTCTCCGCCATCCACCACCTTCACCCGCAGCATCTGTTTCCCGACAGCGGCCAGCATGTGCAAGGCCATGGCTGAATGACTGGAGGGGTCGGAGGTCACAGGTTGGGACACTGGAAAGAAAACCAAGGAAGAGGCACTTAGCACCAAAAATGAATGTCTTCGGAAGAACCTACAACTATTGTTCTACCATTTTGAAAGAAATATAGAACAGTGAAGTAATATAGAACATACTGATTGACACAATGTGTATTAGGGACATGTAATAACCATCCACTCTTCAATCTTCTGGGCACTTATCTCTGGGGGCAGAAATGTTTGCCAATCCAAAGAAAGACAGGGTGTTAGGTAGGGTAAACCTGGCATGGGATGTCAGCCCATCACAGGCCAGAAACACACAACAGGCACCAATTCCCCTGAAGGAAACTCATAAAACACCCGTAAGCCAGCATGCCACCTGGTTTGAGTATTTCAGAGATGACAAATTATGCCCAGAAATGAATGAATGAATCCTGCATCCCTCTGCCACATCAGTGACCCCTAAACTCCTGACAGTAACATAGTGGAGGGGTTGAGTAGAGATATCCCTCCTGAACCTTCATTTAAAATGTTGTTCACATAACAATGATATTAAGTATACAAGAACTGTCGTACACAGATGCACCAGTAGGGGGGCTCTGTCCAATACCAAAGAAGTACCAGCGAGCCCCGGTAGGTAAACCCCAACTGTGACTCCAAACCTTGGATAAAAGGGGGCTGCTGGGGTCTCTGTGTCCGCATGGCCACAACAAGGATAGAGACCAGGCCATATAAGCCCGGCAACGTCACTTTATCACACTACTCTACGATTCGTTAATCTATATTATTATACAGCATCAATTGCACTTTAAAGAAACCGCACTGTATTACGGTTAGTATCAGCATGATGATTAAGTGAAGGCGCGTGGCTGGCTTCCCCGCAGCTACTATGGAAACAGCGGCGTTGCCGTAAAAGGAGATGCAGCGGGCGGTAAACCGCAGGGGCGTGTGCTGCTATTCAGGGTCTCGCTTCGGGGGGGCCCAATCCAGCTCAACACGTGGCGGTACAAAATAAAAGCCGAGCACCGGGGAGGCCACGCGATCATAATATGCTTGGATGCAATGTTGCAAGGCACACGATACACCAACCACGCAAACGCGTGTCCAGAACTGGAACGACGGGTCGACGGGTGAACGTGACGCCCAGTACCACCTAGGCGATCCGATACCGCCCCTTTCTGTTCATGGTTATCAAGATCTAAAAATACTGTCTAACGCATCCGTAAAAATCTCCGAAGCATTTCACCTGAAACGCTCCAATGCTATTTCCACGGAGTCGAAAGAGTGCAGAAAAGTTGTCCCATCGTACCAACAAGGGGATCCCTTGGATTGTGTCCCCACACGGTCTTATATCAAAAAATATTGGCTCGTAGTGTTACACGTCATGCTTAGTGACGGCGTCGTAGACAAGGACTGATTAGCAACCGTCGATCGGGCATCTCCGAGTCATTAGGATCACAAAGTCGAAGATTTAAACAGCAAAACGCGACGGCAGCAGGAGCTAGAGAGAGGAAGCCGCGACACCAAACACTTACGCCGCCACGTTCATTCATAAAACTCCGCTGCGCAATTCCAGCACCACGCGGTGCCTACATGCGCCGAAAAACGAATAATAATTATTATTTTAAAAGGTTACTAAAAGGCCACCACCTTTCCGCTCTGCTTTCCAAGTATCTCTACAGGAGGACAAATGTTACAACCTCGTCCCGCTGCTAGCTCACTGGCTAACCAGCTAGCTGTGTTGCATCAGCTCAAAATGGATGCTTGCCTGCGTAAGGAGACCATGTGAATCCCCAGACGAAAAAAGCATCATATACATAAAAACTCTGCTTATGCATAGGCTTAACTTGGACAACAGCAAATACACTTTGCACATAAAAAAAATTAACCAAATATACACATATATAAGTGGGTTAAATATAATAATTGTAACAAATACACAGAGAAGCGATTTACCTTGAACTGTACTGGATAAACCTTATTTGGGGACAGAACATAAGCGACTACAGACTCCGTAAGTTACGCAAGGTTACCCACCAGATGACTACCGTCCTGACGGATGGTCTCAGCAGCTTCACTCGTCACTAATCGCGGGAGTTTCTACAACAATGTTTCTACAACCTTTTCCGGACCCCGCCCTACGAGCTTAGCTATTGGGCAGGAAGAGATAGCGTGGGAGGGGGACAACGCAATTTTATCATTAACTAGTCACATCTGATTAATCCTTCAACTTTGGTATAATAATAATAATAATAATAATAATAATGTAATTAATTAACATTACATGATTATACTAGTACTTTCGTCTTGTTTGGCTAAAAAGTGACAATAATTACAAGGTTATTGCGCATGCACTTTTTGGGAAAGATATGATATATGTATACCCATATGCTTGTGCGTATTTATTTATTACCATAAAATGTGAGAAAAATAAATCTCAACGTAAAAAATAAAATACCGGAATATAGCTGCTTCCTTTCATGAAATGCCTGACGACACTCACTCCGTTATTTCATCATCGTCTTTGGACGGGACAGTGTGTACACCTGCAGTCTGGATCGTGGGCACCTCCCCCCACGAACCCAGGAAACACGCGAGGTCAATCCATTTCTGTACAGCTTGTTCAAAACTGTCATTTGAATATATTCCCCTATATTCATTGCCAATCCGACCATTTGTTAGACATCATAATGATTAAAAGAAAATATTAACAACTCATAAAAACAACTTTGCATGATGTTAGTAACTGAGTTAAGGAGATGCTTATTTTGTACACGGATGGAGCTGTAGAATCCATTTTGACGTAGGCTAGTTTATTTCAGCAATAGTTGCTTCAGTCTCATTCCGTGTTCCATATCTGATCACGCAGTACAGGGGCATATAGGCACAGCATATGAGGCATGGGTTACCCAGTCCATCGCAGGGCACAGCACACACACTATACACTGGTGAAAACCTGCACTCACACAAGAACAAGTATTCTCCTGGCCCAGGGAATTCCCACCGAGTAATACTCACTGAATACTCACTGAGTAATACTCACTGCTGCTCTCCAGTACAATATCCTGACGAATAACTGATTTTAAATACTGAATATTCATGTGGATGACGCAATAGTTCTGCGGTCTTTCCAGGTATCAAATCTAAACAGTTCTTCTGTTGAGGTTTCCGTACAGCGCCACTTACAGGATAGTGTGGTGCCTCAGAAAAACACAGGTCACTCGCCCTTTTTCCTTGCTCTTTTTCCTACCCACATCTACGGGCACAAGGTAGGGAATTACCCAGGATTGGGCGCCAACCCATCGCCGGGCACACTCACACACTATTCACTCACACAGGCACACTTACGGGCAATTTGGTAACTCAAATTAACCTCACCATGTTTTTTAGAGGAACCCCCACGGGGAGAATATGCAAATTTCACACACGGAGCCATGTGGAGACTCAAACCTGGGTCCCAGAAGTGTGAGGAAACCGCGCCGCAATATCTACTATATATATTTTTGTCAAGTACAGTGGTACCTCAGAACTCGAATTTAATCCATTCAGAACTCCGGATCAAATCCTAAAAAATTCGAGTTGTGATCGAATTTTCCCCCTAAGAAATAATGGAAAACCAATTAATTGGTTCCCAGCCCCAAAAAATTACACCTAAATATGTTTTTTCTATAGCATTTAAACACAAAATGAACCGGATAAAATATGAAGAACATATACTGTACTAAACACATCTAAGCACATTTATCAAAACAGTAATTTGTGAAGTAAGAAAATAAATGTATCCAAACAATGTGTCCTGCCCCGATGGTCCGCTCCATCCGTGTGCCACGCCCCCTCGTTAACCCCGTGTGAAATCCACGTGTGATCAGCTATTTCTGGTTGTTGTCACTAGTCCTCTGTATTTCGTCTGCGTTTCAGTTTGTTTCCCCAGTCCGGTCGATGTATTGCCCCGTATTCCCCAATACCCAGACGTCTGCGTCTTTGTCTCCGTTCCGTCCAGCTTGGCACAACAATATTATTATAATTAAACGTATTCGCCTAATGGTTTATTATTAATATTAAAATAATGAATAAGAAATCTTTATTTTAAAATGTATTTTATTATATAATAATAATTACTGTCTATCATTGTCTAAATGTATTTTTACTGTCTAAATATATGTATTCAGGTAGTGTAAACATACACGGTGCTATCACAGCGAACGGGAGGTTGAGACTGAAGTGTTACCGTTTGTTTCCGCTTAGAGACGTGCCGCGTGACTCATTTCCCCACGCGTACAAATTATCTTAGGTCGGCGTTCACGGTTTGACTTCTGAGATTCAGATCGCGCTCTAGGTATTTTTTTTAACTGGTTGGTTCGACTTTTAAGAAATTCGAATTCTAATGAGTTTGAGAACTGAGGTACCACTGTACTTCAAAAATTCCAACCAATTTTACTCAAATTGCTTGTTGCAATGTGCATTAGCCACCACTGGATGGCTCTCTTTACTAACGCAGTTGTCCGTTTACCTTGGCTGCAAAGTAAGAACATACATCTGCTGTCTGCAGCAGAGCAGATCAATAAAAGTTATTACAGATATCTCACTGTGTACTTCGATATTCCACTGGAAATACTGTGTGAGAAATGTACAACAGAGGCATGTAAAATTGTAATACGGTTATTTCAACCTGTCTGGTGGCTGACCCTGAATTTCTTCCCCTTATGACCATAAATCCTCTTTTAATCCTGGTCCTAAGGCAGTAAAAGCGTTTAAATGACTTCTTCTCCAACCTTTTGAGGATTTCAGATTAAATATTTAAATGGTCAACTCTGGTTTTCCCCCACAGTCCAAAGACATGTAGTTATGAAAATCTGAAACCCAGCCAAGTTCTTATTTGATTTGCAAGGATGTATAATATACAAGAATATGCAAATCCATTCTCTGCTTTGGTGTGTCCTTCCTCTTACATTCCTGAGACATGCTATTAAATGGTGACTCCAAATTTCCGGCAGTGTGACTGTGCGTTAGTGTGTGCCCTCAGGTATACAGGCATCCCTCCCAGGGAGTCTCCAGTCTGCCATAACTGCCTGGGACAGCATCACTGCAAGCCTGCACTAGATAAGATGTATGGTAGATGGATGCATGGATGGATTTAAATGACTAGCAATTTCTAATGAGGCTTGTTTCTGAAGGTCTCCTAGACATGAAAAACAACGTCGTCACCTTCATCTCATTGTTAGTTCAGGCTCACCTCAGAAAATCCTCAAAGGGATTGGCAGAAACGTTGAAGCATGTCAAATCACAGCCAGGATTCAATCAAGACCTTAATCGTGTGTCCTAAATTCAATGCTTAGCTGGTACAAAAATGGCATACAGGACGAACACCATGACTAGGATTAAGAAATAGAGCTTAGGATAGTCAACAGAATGAAGGTACCCCTTATTCACAGCCTGATAAATATTCCAAACTGAAAATAACTAAATGATAAGCATCACCTGTGTCAGGGAATTCACATAATCCACTTTTCAGCAAAAGCATTAAAGGCATATCGGTGATTATATAATAACACTTCAACAGACATGTTTTGTTAAATATTTTATTTGTTCACAGGACCAATTTGTAACATAATCTACCACTAAATATTTTTGACAACCTTGGCCAGATGCAGTATTTACACATTTCACATAAATGTACTGTTTGTTAAAAATAGAATTTTTTTTTTTGTTAATAAGCGGCAGAAGAAAACGCTTTTTGAGTGAGCGTCCATTCAGGCGGACACTGAGGAACATTCCGGACTCGCCTCCGTTTCTTCCGGTGAAAGCTGGCCTTCCCGGCCATGTCTGAAGTTCTGCTCCGAAATGCTGAAAAGGCTCCTCTCTTCTAACGGGCGCTGCTGCCGGAGCTGGAGGACTTTTGATCTTTACTTCTACGGCATCCAGGTTTTTGCCAGAAAGAAGTTCCTTGCTATAACAAGATGATTATCCATTGTTTCCCTCTCTGCCTCTCCACAGCTCGCCGGCTCTGTGCTTATTATAAGGCAGAGTAAAGACGAGCGATTCGGCCTGACAGCTGAATGTGGCTCCATCTGGCTGTGAGGCAGCTCCCCTCGTTTCCCGGCTTGCCTCACAGTGGAAACCATGAACCGTCAAAACATCAAGGTTTCCTTCACCTTTGACACTGTCCTCCCCCCCCGACACCAGCACCACCCGCGTTGATTTCAGACCCTGATCACCATGTGACTCTGAATAGAGCAAACGGCTCTATATCACCCTCTCTCTTTTTTATCATATATAAACAATGTTTGTATTCATATCTTTGTGGGGACCATTCATTTTTATTGGCAAAACCCAACAATGACAACCTGAACCTGAAGTAACCAAACAAAATACAAGACTTCTGGCATTTTTCATTTTTTGATTTCAGTTAGATTTTTGTAAATCCATTTCCCCCCTGTGGGGACCAAAAGTCTCCCCACAAGGTTAAAATAACAGGTTTTTATCACATTGTGGGGACATTTGATCCCCACAATGTAATATATACGACAAACAAACACACACACCTATACATTGCAGTAACATTATGATCACCACGTGCATGAGGAATGTTTTATAACCCTAAACCTCCTCTTTAGGTCAGCTATTCAGCATTTGACTCCTGGATGATGGCAAGCAAACAAATACTCGATCATCAATGTGCACAAGATCAATTATAGAATCAGCTGGATAAGCCCTGAATGATTACAGGAGTGCCAGTACCTCCCTGGCCAGTAGGAGGGGGAGTCACAGGTCCTGCTACCTTATCCTGAATTAAATTAAAGCCATAACTCTACATCCCCCCATGAAAAAAAAAATGTCTTAATGAGAAGAGGAACACAAAAAGAGAGCTAAAGGAGCGACACACTAAGGATTAGTCAGACCATTAAACCCTGCCGATGTTGTGCTTAAAGGGAAAAGGCATTTTCTGTCGGATAAGTGCGTATGAGGAAGTCAGTGTGTCACTGAGATCCACTGAAATGACAAAGGAAATAATGCAAATTCAAAGGCTTTTTTTAAGATTTTTTTTTTTTTTTAACAGCAGTAGCTGTATTTCAGCAGTAACAAGCCCTGGATAGAGCAAGCAACTCACTCACCCCCCCCATATACATTTTACAGTGCAGTAGCATTATTAATGCCATTAAACTCCATAATGGAGGCTTTACTGGAAATGATAGTTAAGGGAATTACAGAGATAACTCAAATGGACACATTGTACGTTAGCAGAGTGTGGCATGATTAGTCATAATGTCTACCATTTGCTTACAGTGTTTGAAGAATCAATTTCCTCATGTTTACATTAATGGAGGGATTTTTCCTTAATAATTATTGGTCAAACCCCCCCCCCCCAAAAAAGAAATGACTTTAATTACTATTATAGGGTGGTGGGGGGGGGGGGGGGTAAAGGCCTTGGAGTAATTCGGCACAGTTGAACAGAAGGTCTCCAGGTTTATTTTGATATAATCTGCGGATGCAGATTGCAGCCCTGCAAGGAAAATCGAGGGACAAGGTGAACCTGCCTGATGTACGACGGAGAGAGAAATTCAGCTCCACCAGAGGCCTAATGGAGACGAGATCCTTGGTTTATTCGCTGCATTTCTGTTAAGGCCAGTCAGTGTCTGACGGCGGCGTGATGCAGCGGGAAGAGAGAATGACCAGGAGTGACGGGCAAAGAGGCTTCCGACTTACACAAACACTGCCATTTATTATCACTCACAACAATTACCGTTAATCTTTGGTTCAGAAACTCACAATCACTCATATTCAGTAATGCACCCATCATGTTTTAAACACAGTTTATGGTAGTCAGTCCAGTAATCTTAACATCCATGAAAAACTCTTCAATCGTGCATCACATTAGATCCCAACACTTCCTGAAGTGATCTGTGCTGCATTTTCTAGTGCGATTATATTTAATTATACTTTCTATTGTGAAATATAAATCAAACAAAATTCTGCATTATAGTATAATGCTTACTTAAAAATACATTTCCAAAGAGTGTTTAATATTACAAAAAAATTGCCACACTGAATGATGGGGTGATTATTACAAATACGGAACTTCTGCGTGTCCTATTCAGGGTAGTGAAGCATTAAGTGCTTTTTGAAACTAGTACATAAACTGATGCAAATGCTCTGAATAGGATCACATTTACATCGATGTAACTATTGTGTTATTGTTTCAACATCAGCAGTGGACTGGGCCGGTGTTGGTCGAAGGGTTGAAGTTTTGCCTTGAAAAACAGCCGCAGACAGTCGCAGAGGGGAAAGTCTCCTGATTGAGCCATTCTGTCAGGCAGGTCAGACTGCAGATCACCGACGATGCTGCGCAGCAGTGAAGCCTGTATGTCCACAGCCCCCAATGGGGCAGGCGCATGTCACATGATCTCAGATGCTAATACTGTGATACTGCTGCCGCACTGACGAGCCGCTGACCATCAGCAGCTGTGATCAATCTCCTCGTTGGCCAGTACCATCGATGTTCTGCAGGGAATATAAATCTGGGGGGGGGGGGGCAAGGGAAGGTTGGGTGGAGATGGGAGGGGGCAAAAAAAAAAGATATTCTCAAAGACTGTCTTACCAGCATTCTTAGCCAGCATCGCTATCGCTATCCGTTTTCCTCATACAGGAGAGAATTTTAAAGACACTTGAGTTGCTTAACTGTGCTGAAGTAAGACGCAGCACTGTGCTGGACTGTGGCAAACACGTTATTTAACTGAACACACCAACATTGCATTTAACATTTCAAAGAAAGTGCCCAATGGAGAGAAATCATACTTTCTGTTTTCCTCTCTTTTTCTTCCTGCAAGAATAATTTGAAAAACAAGTACATATTTAATTCTCTTGCAGAAGCATAATGAATGAGGTCTGCAGGAGTGTCTGCAATTGCTGCTGTTATATCCGATGCTGCCCCTGGGTGCTGTCAGAGGAATCTGGTTAGTTTTGTTGTTTTAAATTAACATATTAGAAACAAGCACAATATGACATAAAGTAAAAGCTCTATGCCATCTGACCACAGGGAAAGACTGTCTTCAGGCAACAAAGCCATTACCAAAGAAACAGCCAGTTGAAAACGGCATTTCTCTAAATAAATGAAGAGAGTAAACACATTTTAGAACATGGCTTTGAGAACAAGCAGAAGTACTGACAAAGATGTGCATGAATCTTAATTATACGCAAAAAAACCTAGCAGTAGAATCGGTTAGCTGGATTTTTAGGGAAGTATGACGTATGAAATATGTGCCCACTGTCAACTGATCTCCAAAGCTAAACGGAGTTGGGCCTGGTTGGTACTGGGTTGGGAATCTGCCTGGACTCATGGGAGTTTTACTTACAGAAAAATGTTTTGAGGGAAGAAACACAAATGGCTGGTTCAGAGAGATGACCAATCAGATGGTAGAGGAGGTGGGCCCAAACAACTAAAGGAGATGTGACCCAGACATCTCCTCTAGTTGCCAGGACCCACCTCATCTACAATCTGATTGGTTGTCTCTCTCAACCAATCATCTTTCATTCTGCCTCAGAACATTTTTGTGTAAGTAAAACTCCCATGAGCTCTGCCAAGCAATACCAACTGTAAGCTTTTGGGGACCGTGTGTGGTTCAGTGGGTAAGGATGCTGTGCCTATGACTGGAAGGGTTGGCAAAATGATTTCGCTCTTGTGTCTTTCAGCAAGACTCTTAACCCTCTATTTCAGGGGCTGTCTAACTCTGCCATATCAATATTACATTGCTTTGGATGAAAGTGTCTGCTAAATGAAATATTTTCCATAAGCATATTCAAACGTGGAAGAAAAATCCCAACCTCTCTCCCAGAATCACTCTCTCCCTAACTGGATAATGGAAGTAATTAACAGCATCTTAATGATGTCAGGAACACAATGTTACATTAATGCTTAATAACTTTGATGAAATTGTGACCAATGACACTATTCTCACAAGGTCACATGACCCGTAATACTATGAGAAGCAAGTTTCATGAGAATAGCAATCTTGAAATTAACCCCTGATTAATCTGATTCTTTAGTTCACCCTCACTTAAATGCTCTAGTTAGATGCGGAGAGTGATTGCAAACAGGACCCATGCTAATAAGGAAGGTCTTAATCCTTCTAGGCTCCTTTGTTAGACTGAAGCTCTAACCAGCTGTTTATCAGCTTTTCCCTTCAACAGTAGGGCCACTAACTACAAAAAGAAAAAGTTTCCCTGACTTTTCTCTGCTTTGTCACAGGTCGTAAAGGCAGATCAAAGCAAATCAAGCTTCAATAAGAAAGCCAGTAGGACACATCATATCATTTCTGGATTTTCCCATTTTTCCCCCCAAATTATTCTAACAAAGCAGCCAAATGCTACAGGATATGGGACACCGCAGCCACTATTGTAAGAGAGCCCATCTCCCTGTCACAGTTATAAGCGTGTTTGAGATATGCACGTCACTTGTGAGAAGTTCGCCCGCTGAGCTCTTCAAGTCCTCCAGCCAAACAGGCTTTTATTTTGAATCTTCTTGACGCCCATAGGAGCAGAGCAGCTCAAAATGCTCCTATGGGGAGGGATTGGGGCTTATTAGGCCCGCCCCCGCTCTGTGCATGTGGTGTTTGGATGCTCCACCGTGTATCACTCTAAACATGCTAATTGGCATCTCTGAATTGCCCACAGCATGTGAACGCACTGCAATGGGGTAGAATCCTCTCCTGCGTCTTCAGGGATTAGCTTTAGCTGTGTTGGATACCCAGTTGGAAGATGGATGGGATCGAAAATGAAAGATGGCCCTTTGTTTTTGGTCACTACCATCCAGTAGATGGTCCACTGGAACCTCCCTGTCCAGTCCCACCATTGACTATGCAGTTTCTCTCTTTGCCTTCAACCCAAAGCAGAAGGTCCTTCAACTACACAGCACATTTGGTGCAAAGTGGTTTATTTCCATGGGATTAAAACTTTTATCTGGGTTAGAATCACCCTTCCATGGCTGGAAGACCCAACATCTTATGGCCTCACAGGCTGTTGTGGTGACTGCAGTATATGACATTTAGGCAAATTAGTCTTAGACTAAATGTCAGTCTATATAATCGATGCTGAGGATAATAACATTTGAAACGCACATAGTTTTTGCGTCAGTATTTAATCACTTTGCAAAGTATGCATATGAGTGTGCATGGAAATTATATTATTTTTATACAATACAATTTTTAGGTACATCACGATCTCAACATCCTAATTATTCAGTGCTTTATCTAATAATTTCTTTCATCTTTTATCGAACACAATAGCAGCACCAATTCCCTCTGCATACTCAGAGCAGTGGGTGAGAAGGTTGCTTACTTAACGGGCTCTGAAGACAACAGTTGGAAAGTTGTTAATAATTACCCAAGAAAGTACCATGAGAGAAAATTACATTTCAGAAGGATGTTGGAGCTCATTGTTGGGAGACTTAAACAAAGCCTGACAGTTAATATAAAACAAAGACTCCTTTTGTCAAACTTCTGAGGAAGCGTGACGAAAACCGAATCATTTTTATTTGCTAAACTCGTCCTTTCAGTGGGAACTTGGCGACAGCTGACATTTCCTGTCGCCTATGACGAGAGCGGAACATCACAGCGTTCCGCTGATGAGTGGAAAGGAAAATCGCGCACCCAACTTCTGATGGGTCGTCTTCAGAAGGCGAGGATTTAAACGTGTAAATCGGACCGACCCGTCTGAACATGCTGCGATCCAGCGATGCCGGCAGCCACAAGCTACACTGGGGCGCTGTATGAAATCTTTAAAACAGCACATCTGCACCCAATCTTCCATCCAAACATCACATACTATTGGTTAATTCATTATCAGGCCATTGATTACTTAATTCAGGTATGCAGGAGGTGGAACAGGATAAATATGTGGACTTGGCAGGAGCTGGGTAAGGTCTATGTATTACTGCGTGAAAAAATTATGGAGCAGGAATATTCCGGCCTTTCTTGGCAATGCCATGGAAAAAAAGAATTTTTCCATATTCAAGGCCAGTAATTATGAAGCAGCTTTTCACACAGAGAGGTAAGCATGGAAAGCTTCAAGCAGACAGGAATCGAGGACAAACCTTCTCTCTCCGCTTCTTCAAATGACCCCCCCCGCACCCACCCCCCACTCCCCAAACATCCCTATTTAAAATCATAATCGCATGGAGATCAACAGAGGACTTGTTAAACTGCTTTCAATTCCTTATAAAAGGGTTGACGGTGAACACACAGCGCGTGGATGAAGAAATTAAGAAGAAGAAAAAAACATGGAGGAGATGGAAGAGAGCCACACGTTTCCAACAGATAAACGGGATCCTGGAGACAAGAAACCCCACAAAGACAGAAACACCTACATTTATATTTCCACAGACGCTATTGAGAGGTCTGTAGCGGCATGAATGAGTGTTTCTGTATTACTTTTTCATTTTATCTGCCATGCTTTAATATTGGTGGGAAGTCGTGAAAGGGACAGATAGAAGAAGGGAAAATACGCAATTTCCCCTATTAAGCACGTGGAAGCCGCATCTTTGGCGTGACACTATAGAACTCCCCAGGTCTGCCAGATAGATTTATTTTACTTTAGAAAGTTCTGGAAGTCTAAGAAGTTCACGGCATTGGAAGAATTTAAATTTAAAAATGTAGCTCAGTTCTGCTAAAGAGCATCCTGTATATTGGTCATTAGTGGTCATCAGAGGCCAGGGAAGGCATCAAACCAAGAGGCTGTTCTGAGCATGAGGCCGGGGGGACACTCCCTCCTTCTGATTTAATTGGCTGTCGAAAGGAAGGGCTAAGATCAGCCATTAAAATATGGATTTGCTGAATAATAGAGTATCATGGTGTTTTGCACTCCTGAACTGAATGTTCTCTGTTATCATGCAGGTGCAGCTGCTATGGGTACAGCTCTTCTCTGCTTAATGAGTATTCACAGCTGCTGCTGCTCTACAGTAATGGTCGTTCCCCGGCTTCTCTGCCCACATCTCTCTCTCTCGACACACAGAGCCGCTAAGGGTGGATCCACACGGATAGCGTGGAGACTACTGGAGAACCCAGAGGAACTAGCGAAATCAATAGCTGCTAAATACTCACTAACCAGCAAATAAATACTCACATTGACACTGGCCCTAACCTGCAGTTCATAACCAGAATCAACAGTGGGTTGCTCTGTAGGGGGCGTTACAAGTGTAAACAAATTTTCTGGCTGGCTGGCAGAGTGACCTTGAGCCACTGACTCAACGGTGCTTGGCTTTGATGGACAGGAAAACCTTACAAGCCTAAAACTACCATCTGCTGCCCCCAAATCACCCAGACCCCCTCCAATACTTTCAGATCCTCTGTTATTTTCCCCCTCCCTCGGTTCAGATGAGTTGTCTTTTCTGATTTTGAACTACGAAGCACAGCTTTGGTTTGAAAGATCTCCCTTTCATCCCGTCAAATTACCCAGCATCACTGCTAGCTTTAAAACCTCAGCTACGTCGTTTAATATTGCTACACATGTAGTGTGCCTTCCTGTTCTGTTGCTCACTGTGTCGTGCTACGACATTTATAAGATGCCATTCTTCTGGAATTTGAATTCATCATGTAAGCCGCGCGCGAGGCTGAGAAACACTGGGAATATCAATAATGTGCCGCTCAGCCCAGTTTGCCTGCTCGTCTTATTACCACATTCTCTCCCCGATTCTCCGCCTGAGCCGAGACAAGAGTAACAAGCTATGCTACCCGCCTTCAAAGCGACGTGACAACGCATCCAGCGCACAACCGGGAGACGGAACTCCGCGCTATGCCAACAATACAGGGGGTAGATAAATTGCACCTGAGTGGATGAGAACAAAGAAAAAGAGGAGGGAGAGGAGGAATAAGGGAGACAGGCATCTTAGAGAAGGGGCTGCAGAGAGAATTAATGATACAAGAGCAAAGGGAAGGCTGGAGAAAAGGCCCACAAAGACCCTATAGGTGTG